ATTCTGCATTTCCAGCAAACTCCAGGGTGATGCTGCAGCCCCACAGGCAAGTTCATCGAAAGCCATCGGGGTGACCACCTGGCTGCCATGGCCCCACGCTGCTCTGGGAGGAACCCTGACAGGGGTATGACCCCACGCTGCTCTGAGAGGAACCCTGATAGAAGTATGCCACCTGAGGTCCCTATGTGCTTATAAGATCTTGGCCCTCTGGCTAGGTGAACCCTCAGTGCTGATGAAGTTAACCCATTCTTCCCCAAGGCTTTCCGAACTGGAATGAGAGGAAGAGTGAAGCCCTTCTCTTGTGGGCATAGGAGGCCCTGGGGTGACCAGTCATGTGAGGAAGTTAGTTTCTAGGAGCAAGGGAGCAGGCAGAGAAGAGGATTCAGGAGTGTTCCACTGCCTGCAGATGTCCTAACAAACATCCTTCTGGCAAATTCTCCACTTGGCCTAAACTTGTTCCACTTGGGTTTTTATCAGTTGAAACTAAAAAAGCCCCAACAAGGGATGGGGAAAGGAGGAGAGGTATTGTCCTGGAAATGCAGGCCCCAGGGGCTTGGAGTAAGAGCTTATTATTCAGATGCCTGGGGCCTGAGGTGGGGAAAGACTGTCCATGAAATCACGCAAAGCTGTGTTTCCAAAGCTGTGTTTCCAACAGAGTGGACAGGCAAGAGGAGACACTAGGAAATGAAAGGTTCAACCTACCTAAAATGGGGGGAGGGGGAGAACTAAAACAAAAACAACAGAAAAAAGAGGCAAGATGGTCTGTGGGTTAAAATTGCTGGATAGTGTTGAAAGAAAACAAAAAGAAGCCCTTATCCAAAAATGATGTCTGCTGAAAACAGACAGGGACAGAACAGGGTAGGAGCAGCCAAGCTGATATTCTTCAAAGAGCAACCAGTCTCTGGGCCTGAGCAGAAGTGAAAAAACAGTCCTGTCCAGCAAAGAACAAAACATTGATCTTTTCCTGTGTGTCACTGGGGGATGACTTTGTGGGGTGTGCTTTACATTGATGTCCTTACTTGACGACTTCTAAGAAAATGCCACTCAGGCCCCTGTCCCTGAAACTCCAACATGGTCACAGCTGGCACTTCCATATTCAGAAGAGGGAAAACTGTACAGGGTCATGTCATATGAGTGCCACCCGGCAGACCCTGGGCCTGGGCACACCTCAGGCCAGTCTCCGAGTCCTCTCAGATCCCGGGGACAGAAGACACACAGGTGAGACAGGAATGACAGTGCCACCCCTTCATGTTTGGAGTAAATGACTTGAATAACCTGCTTCTTGGTTATACCTTCATCTATATTAAGACCTTATTCTAGGTTGTGCACAGTCAAATTAAACCAAGTATTTCACAGACATTTCCAAAATGGCACATTTTTTGCACTAAAAGGAAAAAAACAACACCTAGTTACCAGCACGGTGTACTGTCCGGGAACCGAATGGCTTTCTTTCCTATTCAACCAGCAGACCCGTGCAGGGAGGGCAGGTGGCAGTCGAGAAGTAAGCAGGAGAAGCACTCTCTGTGGCTGACACCCTCGTGTGTGACCATGAGGCAGTGAGGCTGACCCCAAAAAGCAAAAATGGACACTCATTACCACAACAGCCATACCTTGTGCTGTGTTTATTAAGTATTTCTTTCACACGTTAAAAAATTATCTACCACAGACAGGCTCAATTTTGGTAAAATCAACTGAAAAAAGTTATACGTTAATGGGACATCTGTTGTAAAGATTCCAGAAACACACGAGTCCAAATTTCAAACTATGATTCCCACAGTAACTGTAACTCGGCTGTACAACATACATAATGGAAGAAATGCTATCAACATATGCCGAAGTAGAAAATACTCTGTAAGCAGAAACAAGCTGAGTTATGCTTGTTCTGGGAACCATCATTTTCAACTAGCAGAGAATATATAAAAATTGAAACCATAAATACGTGCATTATTTTTTGCATTTAATGCTAATTTTTCTTGGTCCAATTTAATCAGCTTTGCATCCAAACTACATTTTCCTTTCATAAACTGTCAATGAATGTCTTTTGCAATTTTAAAATCCACAACGTTTGGTTCCTTTTTCGCAGGCAGGCTGGTTCAGCAGGATGGGATCATTACACCCTGTCCATCCCTGAAATGTCAGGACACGTCTGCTGGGATCCATCTATCTACATTCCTTCTCTCCATGAAGGACACAGTAGGAGAGGAAAAAAAGAATACCAACTACAACAAGAATCACACCAAGTAGCTTAGAATGGTACACGAGTGCCACAGATGCAGGAACACTGCCACGATGAACTTCTCCCTTGGTCTCTTCCTAAGCAGAAACAAGGACAATAATACCACCATGTATTTACAGTTTCCAAAGTGTTTAGTCAAAATATTATCTCATCTGATTCTCACTGCAACACTGTGAAAAATGGCAAAAAGAAAACACCTTTCTGTTGTTCAGCTTTTGTAACTCCAGCAGAATATATTTAAGGATGTGTTTTTATGTAATCATTTAATGTCTGGGCTACTTAATTGCACTTGCACGACTTCCTAAACATACTCATTTACCACATGCCGGGGATTTACTTATTATTGAAGACAGAATATACTCTATGTAAAAAGATTATGGTTATGAGCTAGCCATTTAACATATTTTCAGCTTTTGGATTTAGCTGTATCCTGAAGACTCAATCCCGAAACAAAGGAATAAGTGCCATTTGAAATTCTGCCCAGGCCAAACTTATCCTGCACATCATACTCAGTCTTTCTTTTCCTGATTTGGTTCTAAGGACAACTTTGCAACCTCTGAGGAAAAATCCTTTTCCTTCCCAGCAGTCCTTACCATCAGGGTATGTTTCATTATATTCAAACTACATTACTTTTCAAGAACAATCATAATTCTTTTACCACTCTGAATAGCTCCGCCCAAGCATGGCGTTCATGACCTTATGCAAGTATCCGGAGGGCAACACGCGCAATCTTTTTGTGTCTTAGCACTACTATGATCAGTCTATTCAAATGTTAGTATATCTTCCCTCCTTTTTATGTACAAAAAGGTTTTTCTCTATACAATCAGATAAAATTTTCTTTCTTCATTGATACAGTACACCAATTTTTAAAAATCAATTAAAATAAAGATTCAGAGTTTACAAAAGCTTCAATATCATTTATTCTAACTAGGAAGATAATCCTTTGCCTGCTAGATAAGGATTTGGGTCAGGTATGTGGCTCATGCCTGTAATTTCAGCACTTTGGGAGGCCAAGGCAAGAGGACTGCTTGAGCCCAGGGATTCAAGACGAGTCTGGGAAACATAGTGAGACCTTGTCTCTATTCAAAAAATTAAAAATTAGCTGGTGCACACCTATAGTTTGCCTGAGTCCAGAAGGTCAAGGCTGTGGTGAGCCGTGGTTGTACATTGTACCACTGCACTATATAGCCTGGCAACAGAGTGAATCCTTGATTTTAAAAAAAAAAAGTATAAGCATTATATATGTAATTAAAGGGTAATATTTAAGTGCAAAAAGGAACACAAAGGAATATTAATTTTAGGAGGTTTTATGGTAGATAAAGAGTTGTCTTTTTAAAAAATTATTATATTTTAAAAACATGGGGAGAGTTGTCTTCTTAATGTTACCGACAGTTATAAACACAATTGTAAAACAGATCTTTGCAATGAATAGAGATGAACACATACATTCTTGAATAAAGCAGATAGTAAAACACATAAAGGTATTCTCTGGGACGTGAATATTGAACGCTCAGGTCTTTCCCCCCTTTTATGCAAATATTTTAAAAGAAAAAACTGTATCTGAAGTTGATCACAAAGCATATTCTCAATACTGTTTTCAGGCTAAAAAGTCAAAGATGAGAATATAAGCTCTTTCATCTTATCAGAGACCAGACAAAGGGGTTTGCTGCCCTTGGGATGCATCAGTCCCACAGGAAGATAGAAACATGAGGATGCATTTCCCACACATGTCATCCACTTTATGAGGCTGTTCCCAGGGACAGTGTGGATCCAGCCAGTGGTCAAGGGCTACCTTAAACAGGATGAAATAACATCCTCGTTGATTGTCTCTTCAAGGTGGAAACTGAAGAGGAGGTGACTAATTCTAGAAGGTCACAGAATGATTAGAAAAGAAAAATAATGGGATGTGTTTCTCTTGGGCCATCAATATGTGAAATTCCCAAAGGTCTAAGCTTTCCCAAATAAGCTGACAATAAATTTGAAGGTTCTGGAGACTATCAGTACCAAAGATTAAGAAACCAATTTTTCACCTTTACTTATAATTAAGGTATGCAGGATTCCATGAGTAACCAAGAGTAAAACATTAACACATTAAAGAATAAACCAAAGGAAAACTCTGAAAGCAAGGTAAGTGGTCCAATAATAGATGTCAAATGAATTATAACACATTCATACAACGAATACTATGCAGTCATTCACAATGTATTCTTGAAGATAACCAAAGAGAGGGAAAGGGTTGATAATTTATTATAAAATGAAAAGAGAGGATACAAACTCATATATTTCATATGATCTCTATTTTTGGAAAAAAATATGTACAGAAGTAAAAAGGTTGGGAGGACATACAGAAAACTATTATTAACAGAAGTCATCTCTGTTACTGAAAATTTAATCTCTTCACAATTTTTCTTTTCCAAATGAAAAGAGGATAAGGGGAAATTATTATTTTTAAAAAGACTCAATCAGTATATTCTGATCTTTTGGTCTCTTTTTTTTTTTTTTGAGTTGGAGTCGCACTCTGTCGCCCAGACTGGAGTGCAGTGGCCGCTCCCGGCCACCACAGCCTCGACCTGCTGGGCTCCGGCGATCCTTCCGCCTCAGCCTTCCGAGTAGCCGGAATTACAGGCACACGCTACCACGCCCGGCTGATTTTTTGATTTATCGTAGAGATGAGGTCTCGCTGCCCAGGCAGGTCTCGAACCCGCGGGCTCAGGCAATCCACTCACCTCAGCCTCCCAAAGGCGCGGGATTACAGGCTGAGCCACTCATTTGTTTTTAATAACACAAAATTAAAAACCAAAATATACTTAGTGACATTAAGCAAATGCATTAACAATTATTTTTCTTTACATTATAAAATCAATAGTTTATTCAAATTTAGCTTCCTTATACTTTTTCCAATTCACACAAGAACAACGCATTTTAAAAAACATAGATGGCATAAATTTTCATCCAAGGTTGCAGTTTTCCTTGCGTTCTTCTTCACATACCATCAAGTCTAAAAAATGAACTTCATGTGCTTGATCCCGTATGTTTTGAAGAAGACCATGATAATGAGTGCCCACAGCCCCAGAATAAAGCCCCCAGGAGGATGCCAGTCTTTCAGCTTTGGTTTCTGCAAAACAAGGATAACATGGAAAATTTCACATTAGGCAAACAGTTCTGCCATGGATAAAGCAAATACTGATGGTAAGGAGAAACTTCACTTGTTGTGTTTTAAAGGGGAAGTGCTTTTAGTCAAATTAAATATACTGAGATCGCCACAACAGTAACCACTTAAAACAGGGTCAATATCTCAAGGGGTAAACTGCCAACAAGGGTTTCAGCTTCCATTTTGTTTCCCCAAAGGGTCCTTCCCTGATTACCCAACCCAACTATTTACTCTCACCCAAATTATTCAGCAACGTAACAGTCCTTCTCACTGTGAATTTACATTTTCATTAGGTTGTCGTTTAACTGTCTCTCCTATTAGGCTGCAACTCCAGCAGGGTCAGCTTGTGACAGTCCCAGCACAGTGACCTGGTCACTGTAGCAGGTCAGTGCCCAATGCAAGACTGGATTTTGACCCTGCAACTGGTTCTTTGTGACAACGATCTCTTTATGAACCTACTTAATGAGTTACAGCTAAGATTGTAAGGACAGTTATGGTATGAGAACCCTATTTTAGAGGAGACTAGAAGGGAGAGAAACTACAAGCTAAAATTTGCTTTAGTCGTCATGTATAACCTTCATCAGTTTAAAATTAACTTGTCAAACTAATAGGAGAGAAAGCCACTTTAACATTTAACTTGGATCACAATGCTAGATAGCGTGCTAGGAGCTTTTACTCAAATGCCTTAAAGGACCTGAACTGACAATATTGCCTGAAGTGGTCACATCCGATCTTCATTCCTAGCCTTATACTCACCCTCTACCCTTCCTTTCAGAAGAAAACTCCACAAAAAATGTACCCCAAAATATTAAGCCTGATTTTCCCCCATGTTACTTTCCACTCGATCATTTGCAATGGCTTCTGACTGTATGTGTGGTAAAGTGATGACAGACGTCCTCGCCCTCAGGTATCCTGCAAGATGGTAAGTTCAGTGGCTCTCAGACGGTTTCAAAGGGTAGAGCTCTTGGAAGTCACATGTTTTCTGTGCAACACTATGACAAATCTTAACTTAATTCCAGTAGAAAATCGAGAATAATTGCTATAAAGCACAGTTATATGAATGATAGGTAATGTAAACATCACAAGCATGTGTCAATGGAAAGTGAGTGAGTGAACCAAACGTGACTGACCACTGCTCAGTTTTGCCCTGGTTATTCTCTACGAGTCAAAGAACTAGTATTTCACATGAAAGGGTTGAAAAAGCTTAAGACCTAAAACTATTTTCCACAAACTGGGTAAAGATTACCATTATTCATTAATAGTGAGAACACACCTTTATACAATAACCTGCAAAGTTCCCTGGGAGCCTAGTTTAAGAGCACTGACCTAGTTAGACAAGATGCTGATTTTCCCTAGCAACTAGGAGTCTCTGATTTATATGGCACTTGAAAACACACACACACATTTAGGTTGCTACTGTAGAAAAGCTAACTACTGTCAAACTCTGGCACTAATGTGAACTCTTAATTGAGGAGAATAAGCTATATGCAATTGTTCCATAAACTGAATTAATGAACTTCCGTGTCCAAAGAGTTCAGGAGGTTTTAAACCTAGTTATGCTTAAAAAAAAAAAAAAGTGAACATCCCTTAAGCTCTATCATTCCTTAGAGATCACCGAGATAGTAATCAGGTAGCTAACAACAAATCTTATTTCTGCAGCTGTAGAAACTCAAGTTACTTTCCAATGAGATGGATTCCCAAAGGCTGTGATTTTGCTGTTCGAGCTTAAACTCAGCAGCTAGAAACAGTTGCCAAAGATAAGATGACTAAGGAAGAAAGCAGCATGTTGGCAGTAACTAGAACCTCTCCAAAGACCCAGCCATCAGCCCTGGCAGCTGTCTGACCAGTTCTCCCCAAGGCTGGCTTGGGGCCTGTGCTCCGTGTCTCCACAGGCTCCAGTTCCTGACCACGGACGGCCAGGAGACGACCACAGAGAAGAGGGAAGGGCGAGGGCCCCACCAGAAAACTTCAGAAGTCGTGCTGGAAGACTAAGAAATTGACGGAATGATGCCCAAGTTACAGCACAGTGTTAAGCATTTACCCACATGGCAAGACTGCACAAACTAACAAAAGCAGCAAATCCGAGCCTTTCAAAACTGCCACTTGCAGTTGCTATCTCTCAGAATATTTATCAGTTACACCTTTCTGATGAAAGACGCGTTACTAACTCGACGCACACTGGGTTCGGCTTGAGAGGGCCTCTGAAGAGAAGCCCCGCCCAGCTCCTTGCAGCTCGCACAGGAGCGCCCACTCCGGCACAGAAGGGCGCAACCCTGCCAACATCTTGCTGACCTCTGAAGAGGAACCTCGCATGTCTCGCCATCTGAAAGGCACAGAAACCAGGAGAGGATGAGAAGCAAATGAATGGTGGGCCCCGCTTTCCAACTGGTAAACACCACGCAAAAGCTGGCTTTGCTCTGGGAAAAACAACACTTCTGCCTGCTGAGAGAGGGACTAGGGCTAGCTCCCTTTCCTGCCTGCATTTTTTTTTGAGTCGGAGTCTCACTCTGTCACCCAGGCTGGAATGCAGTGTGGCATGCTCATGGCCACCGTGGCCTCAACCTGCTGGGCTCAAGGGATCCTTTCGCCTCAGCTTTCCAAGTAGCTAGAACTACAGGTGTGCACCGCCACATCCAGCTAATTTTCTCTTGATTTATTGCAGAGAATCGCCATGTCGCCCAGGCTGGTCTCAAACCCCTGGGCGCTGGCAATCCTCTTGCTGCTGCCTCCCAAAGTGCCGGGATGACAGGGCGAGCCACCCGTCTGCGTTTTAAGAAAGGCGCCATGGAGGAGAGGGACAGCTTCGCCAGGCAGCTGGGCTGTGCGACTCACTCCCACCTCCCCACTGGCACACCTCAATTCATCGTTCCAAAGCCGTTCCCAGCACACAACATGATGGGAGGAGGGGCAATGGCGGTGAGCGGCTCACTGCACCCCAGAAAGCTGAGAATCGCATGGAAAACTCTGCAGAGACCGGGAAATGCAGGGAAAGCCCTGTGAGTAATGCATGTGTTAAAAATGTGTTTTTTAAAGGGCCCCAAACCAGGCATGAGTGCTATGCTAGCAGATGACCCCAGCTGAGTTCAGCAAAGCCCACTGAGGACGCCTCCCATCACCGGGAGCCACATAACAACCTGTTCCTCAGGGACACACTTGAGGAGGCATTTCAAACTTAAGTGGACACAGAAAAGCATCCGTACTCCACTGGCAGATGCCAACAGTATTCAAAGGAAAAGGAAAGTCGGGTGGGCTCTGTGAGGAAAAACACTCCCACGCATCCCACTCACGGAGCATAAATTACAGCCTGAAGATGCAGAGAAGGTGCCTCTGAGAACAAATTTAATAAGGAACCAAAAGATAATTTTAGAAAATTCTTATTTGGCATGGATTTGAGTAAAGATTCACAAGCAACGAAAGAATGATCTAGAGAGAAAAAGAATACAAGACACAGAGACAACAGGCTGAGCTGAAAAGGGGGCGAGATGCCGTAATTGCAAAATTACATCCACACTGACAGGAACAGTGTCCTCAGCACACGTTTGAGTCATACGTTCACCCGACTGTGTCAGACTGATGGCAAATACGGCCTCGACTGTCCATCATTGCGTGTGCCCACCCTTTCCAATGTGACCTCACAGTAGCTCATCAAGAGGTAGAATCTATATCCCTACCCTGAATCAGCGAGTCAGGACTTCCTGTGACCAAGAGAATGCAACACAAGGAACAGCGTCCCAGTTCTAAGTGCAGCCTCAAAAGGCTCTGCTGGCTTCTACGTTCTCTCAGACCTCTCCCACCACCACGAGAAAGAGCCTAAGCCTCTGGAGGACAAAATCTCAGCTGAAGAAGAGCTGAGGGCCCCAGCCAATGACCAGCCAACTCTCAGAAGCAAGACCACCGATCCAGAGTGGATCACAGACCCACGAGGGGGCCTAGCTGAGAACAGAACCGCCCCGGTCAGCTCATCCTAAATTACAACCCTGCAGAATCATGAGCTAACTACATGACATGCTTTAGTCACCAAGTTTTGGGGTGGTTTGTAACACATCAGATGTTATGGAACACACCCACAGAGGTGACATTTAACAGGGAAGAAAAACCCTGACCCTTGATCATCACAAGAAAACAGAAAAGGCTCACACCTTCATACTTGTAGCTTTAGGTGTCTGCAACAAGGGCGTAAGCGTGAAGCATGAAGGACAGCCAATCACTCCTTCATCCACCATGACCTTGGCTGTCAGAAGTCTGCACGGTATTCCCTCTGGCCCTCACAGAATGAGAACTCTGGCCTCGCAGCACCTGAACAGAATTTACCGCTGGGTTCTGAGGAAACCGCCTAAACAAAGAACCTCTCTACTGTCTCCAGAGGTAAATTTCAGGAATGTTCCTTGCCACTCTCCTCACTTTAAGGAACATACAAGGGGGAACCCAAAAAACCCAGAATTTATTAAAAAGTGTGCATTTATTCTTACGTTTAAACTTCAGTCACCTTCAAAGTACTCTCCATTTGATGCAATACACCTAGCAAGATGCTTTTTCCAGTGCTTGAACCAGTTTTTGAACTTGTCAATTTTGATGCCTTGTAGCGCTTCTGCCATTTTTTGTTTCGCCTCTTCCACATTGACAAAACATGCCCCTTTAAGGATTTTTTTTCATCCGGGGAAACAAAGAAGGTTACTTGGTGTGAGATAGGTTGAATAGGGAGGGTGGGTACAGGTGTCACGCCATTTGGGGTCAAAAACTGCTGAACACTCAGCGTAGTGTGGGCAGGCGTGCTCATAAAGCACCCATCATGAAATGGGCAAATGCGCTGAAAGAATCTCCTCCCCAAAATTCACTGAAGCTGAACGCAGCCTCTCACAACAACGCTAGCTGGTGCAGTAATGCTGATGGGTTCCTGGAACACTTGCTAGTGGGAAAAGCCGGCACTAAAAGAGGGCCTGCTCTCCTAAAGATAATTCCAGGTT